AAAACCCAGTGCGTGTTACTTCCACCGAGTTTGTCAACCAGGTTGTTCAGACCGTCCGTCCAATCCACCGAGATATATATATATATAGTTGTAAGTCAAAACGAATGTGTCTACACACTGTATACATACTATATGTAATAACTGTATTAGATTGTATTAGTATAAAATAGTAAAATAGTATATATATATATCTATAAAATATATATTAATATGATTTTGTAACTATGTATGTATATATGGTATCCCCCTCGGTACCTACCTTTTCTATGAAAGAATCGTGCTTTACAGTGCTTTGTGCTGATGTTCCTGGAAATTTTAGGACTTTCCTGGAGCCAAGAACCAGATGATTGCACAGGAAGTCTTGGGGAAAATCTTGGTTCTTGGGGAAAATCTTGGAGAACGTCTTGGGGATTTCGGGCGTTTTCTGGCAACAGCTTCTCCACAATCTTGGTTCTTGGTTCCAGGAAAATCCTAGGATGTCCTAGTACTTTACTACTTCACTCGCCTCCCATCGTGTCTACAGAGGATATTAACAAGAGAAGGTGGTGAGGAGGCATTGTAGAGTCTAAGGAGGCAAATGACCACAGCAGGTTTAGGAGTCAGGTATCAAGGGAAAACGTTTAACAATACGGTACAGCCGGTGCATCAATTTCTTAGAAAGAGTTTGGCAAGGGCGTTCTAGAAGACAACGGAAAAAGACCACACTAAAGACCACATATTGGAATGACAGGGTGAACAACTCTGCCTAGATGAGCACTACGAACAGCATAGATTGCTTTATATGCTGAAAAAAGTAATGTAGCAAATAAGGAAAAGGTAGAAGACCGATTGGGTTTGAGAAATGCCTATTGGAGCCCTTCAACATTATACAAAACGGGTAAGACTCTTTATATTCCAAGCACTGGTGGCAAGGATGGAAGTTTGGAAAGAGATGTATATAGTATATTTGATTTGTTGCTTATTCGAAATGCAAAACATACTGATTGCCCGGCATAGACCCCAGATAGCGGGTGTATAGGGAAAGAGCTCATCGTGCTTGAGGGAAAACCATCCCAATGTCTAATAGCTTTCGTTGCCAATGACCGGTGCCAAGGGCATTGTTCACCTTGCCACGGATGACGTTTGTCAGGGCAGGGACGATATCCACCCCTATGGTGCTGACACATTGATGCATGTATGCATCGTTTCTCTGTGTGGTGACATGGTGTCGTGCCAAAGGGATGACATCATGTCATGCCAGGGACCAGCACCAGCACCAGCACGCCCACACAAAACGTCGATCCAGCAGCAGCAGCAGCAGCACCCGCACGCCCCAAGAAAACGCCGATCCAGCGCCAGCCCCCGCACCAGCACCCACACCAGCACCCGCACCAGCACGCCCAAGATCCAGCACCAGCACCTGCACCAGCACGCCCCGAGCAAACGCCGATCCACCACCAGCACCCGCGCCAGCAACCAGTACCCGCACCAGCACCACCACCTGCACCAGCACGCCCAGGCAAAGCACCGATCCAGCACCAGCACCAGCACGGTCAAAACGAAACGCCGATCCAGAGCCACACCATTGAGAAGCAAGAGCCCCTATAGCTTGCAGCTATCTGCGGAAAAAACGTCATGATGTAATGGAAGATTCAAAAAAAGTCACTGAAATAACCAGATTGGTTTAATCATTGGGGTCAGTAGTTGTCAAAAACAACAAACAATGAAGAACAACCTACAGTAACAATTTTGCTACAGCCACATACGGGACAAGCAAGACCCAAGAAGGCTAGATTTCATAAACCAAAAGAATATTGTTTCTGCATTGGATGGCTACGCTGAAAGTCAAGATGTTGGTGGATGGAACCCATTAGTTGCACACACATATAAGCCAAATTGATGGTCAGGAGTCAGGAGCCAGGGATTGTATAATATAAGACCTGTGCTTTACAACAAAGTTGCGTACAAAAAACATATTCATTTCACTAACCAGAACAAATGGTAGTCATGACAAGCTAGAAAAAACTATACTGTAAATAAGTCATCAAGTGGTTATGATGGGATAAAGGAGCTAATTAATAGAGCAACAAAATAATCACATAACAAATGTTCATAAAACCCTGAATAAACAGTCTAAAACTAGTGTTCAATCGAACTCACAGTCAAAAGACAATAGAAATAGAAAGGGATAGTATAGTAGCAAAAACAAAACACACAGTGGTAAAGATTTTAAACGTTGGGTTGCATGAAACAAGTCAATATGTAACAAACAGGGGATTTGTCACTTGTGTGCAACCCAAATGCGGGAAACACATATCAGGTGAAGACAACACTTATATATATATATATAAGAAGTGTAATACTGCCTGCAACATTTCGAAACACAAATGGAGACATAACACGTTTTTGCGTCCATTAGAAGGTTTAAATGCATTCATGCAGACATACAGTCCAACTGCAGGTGGTCAGCTGAATCAGGATATTGTTAAGTACGGCCGTCACTGTGATTTGTATGAGTGCTTCAAACCTGGAGGTGTAAGAAACATTGATGGCATTGAAAGTTCAGTTAACCCCCGTTGGGATGCTGATTATCATGCTTATGCTAATGGTTTAGGCTCAGGTCTATTGTTACAGGCTACCACTGATGGTACTACTTCTACTACAGGTGTGGTGACCGTATCACCACAGGTGATAGGAATGAATGGGCAGAGTAGACAAGAATTACACAAGACACTTACCAACTCATCTGTTGGGGTTCAGCTTATACCTGAGCATTTGCAAAGAGGTAGGTATTGATGGGGGCTAGCATATATTTATTAAAAATATAGTAATATATATGTATAACTTGAGAGGAGGGAGACACGAAAGGTCGGACAGCGGGAAGAGAAGAGAACGTGAGAGGCAGGAACAAAAACGCAATGTTCGACATGGTGATTTATCCCCTCGGAGGCGACCTTCCGTAAATATAATTTCATATGCACTCTAAATGTTCAAACATATGCTCTCGAAATGTTCACAAAGATTCTTAGGAAAACAAACTTGCCCCATGGCTCAGATCATCGGTGAGCATTAAATCGGAGCGTCACAGGATTTAAACTATCCTGAAACCATAAGAGGCTCACGAAGACGTTCCCCACGAGAGAATTGACGTGCTTCACAAAACAAACTCTAGGTATGTATCCCCTCGGGGAACACCTTTCGTGATTAGAATTTCATATGCACTCTTTCTGAATGTTCAAGAGGGTTTCAACTATCCTGAAATCATGAGAGGCTCACGAAGACGTTCTTCAGGAGAGAATTGAATTTAGAGGGGGGGGGGG